ATGGATGGATGGATGGATGGATGGATGATAGGCAGGTAGGCAGGCAGGCAGATAGACAGATGGATAGACACAGACAGACAGAAAGGTTGCCAAAGAGACAATACACCTAAAAAACAGGTGGGACTTCAATCACCCCACCATAACCCGCTCTTGACTATTTTACTCTACCTTGCAGACACCTCTAGATATCTACTTAAATAGCTCCCTCTTTTTTTTTTTTTAAGACAATGGGTGTGCCATTGTTGCCAGAGTATCTTATTCATTGCTTATAAATGGTGACAAGTTGTTCCTGGGTAGTAAAAGATGGTCTCCAAGATGTCAGTTGCCTCGGTGCTCAACTGGTATCTTGTTGCCGTCCTGGGTCAAGGATCCTTTGGTGAGCTTTGCGCTCGGTTGTAGCCCATCCTTTGTATCCCCTCATTAGAGGAGACGTAAAAAGGTGTAACATCCATGGCCGACTTCAGTTGCTCTGAGGAAGCTGGCCGTCTGGCGAGCAACATTTCCACAGATATTCATTACCTTCCACAGAATTCCTCAGGGGACCTTTTGACACTCAATAGCAAGCGTTGAAACCTACCCTCCAAGACCATGAATATTATGGACTGAGAAAGTCTTGTGGGTGGGGGAACAGGAGTACCCACACGGAGGCCCAGAAACACTCAGTGGGCAGTCAAGAGGGCTCCTTTGAAGTTTCACCCCATTTTAATCATTTTAAATTAAAGTGGATTAATTAAATTTGTAAATTAAATTAAGGTGGGTGTTTGATAGCATGACCATGGATGTCTCAAAGGTGCTTTTTTTTTCAAGAGGCAACTGGACTTTCTGATTTTTTTCTTTGAAGACGTTTCCCTTCTCATCCAAGAAGCTTCTTCAGCTCTGACTGGATGGTAGGGAAGGGAAGGATTTATATTCCTTGCAGACAGCTGGTCATTTGCATCCTTTTTAAGGGTCACTGAGGCCACTTGGAGGTTTATCTGTGTTTGAGAATCTCCATAGAAGATGGATGCCATCTAAATTTTTGTGACATTCACATACGCCTGCAGAATGCCCTCTATAACAATATAAGTTTGGTGATTTGAAATTGGGATAGAAGGTGGGACCAATTCTTTTTCAAATGACATTCACCAGAAACAGACGTCCCATCAGCAAGTAAGCCTTTCACAGTATAAAATACTTGGTATTCCTGTTTCTTGAGCTGATTATGTTCACCCACGTCCTTAATATCAGAGAGCAATGATTTCGCCAAGAGAAACTGAGAATCTAGCAATTGTGCAGTCTGAATTCACTGAACATCGTTTTGAGTTCTAAATGCTGCACGAGTTTTAATTTAAAAGCATGCAAATCCTATTTTCGAATCAAAACAAATCACACTTTTGACTAGATTAGATGGCTTGCCTGATCAAATGGTTTTTTAATAACTTGTGCAGAAATAAGTAATTCGCTGCCATGTGCCTTCAAGTCAAGTTAAAAAATAAGGGAAATAGAAATGCCTGAGACTTTTATATATATAGATAAATCATTTTAATTGCTGGAACTCTTCCAAATAATAATTAAGACAGATGACTGCATTTAGTTTTAATTATTAATCTTTTGCAACAGAACACGATAATTACTTTTTAAAAAAAAACTAGTGGCAATTCTTCTTGAATTAAAAACATCCCAATGGTTAAAATCTATCTGGGCAAAGATGGCATCCAGTAGATTCTCGTAGACAATTTTGCAGCTTTTTTATCACTGTTGATGAAGGTCTCTGATGATTGATCAAATTTGACTTCTAGGATTATTCATCGTGGCTTCACTTACAGGCATTAACCATGTCCTTAGAAGGAAAGCGTGTAAGCAGGTAGTCACTTAACTACTGAGTTGTGAATCTGCCTCAGTCACAGGATCCATGCCCCATCACTGTCCTTACAGTTTTATTGGGAGACAATTGCGAGATGACAATTGGTTGCTTCTTCTCCTGACCTCAGGTGCTTTGGACAATAGGTTCCCCCTCTTCTCTGGGACAGCCCCTCAAATAAAGTTCACCAAACACGTGTTGAAAAAGACAGGCCCACCAATTCTCCCAGAGAACGGTTAAACCCGTGTATTCTGTACAGTATATGATGTTGATCTATTGCCCAAACAGTGTTTTCCAATGTGCTCATAAAGCATTACATAAGCAGGCACTTCTGAAAATTGCTTGCCAAGAAAACTGCAGGGACAGAATCAAGTTGAAGAGTTAGTACTGCTTTATAAGGCCTTGGAATACAGCATCCAGTTTTGGTCGTTATAATATATTCGATATAAAAAATATGTTGAATAGAATCACAGAGTTGGGAGGGACCTTGGAGGTCTTCTAGTCCAACCTCCTGCTTAGGTAGGAAACCCTACACCACTTCAGACAAATGGTTATCCAATCTCTTCTTAAAAACCTCCAGTTTTGGAGCATTTACAACTTCTGGTGGGAAGCTGTTCCACTGGTTAATTGTTCTAACTGTCAGGAAATTTCTCCTTAGTTCTAAGTTGCTTTTCTCCTTGATTAGTTTCCACCTATTGCTTCTTGTCCTGCCCTCAGATGCTTTGGAGAATAGCTTGACTCCCTCTTCTTTGGGGCAGCCCCTGAGATATTGCAACACTGCTATCATGTCTCCCCTAGTCCTTCTTTTCATCAAACTAGACATACCCAGTTCCTGCAACCGTTCTTCATCTGTTTTAACCTCCAATCATCCCCTAATCCTCTTTGTTGCTCTTCTCTGCACTCTTTCTAGAGTCTCCACATCTTTTTTACATCTTTTTTTACACTCATTGACTATAAATCCTTCCATTCCCCGCCATCCAGTCAGAGCTGAAGAAGCTTCCTGGATGAGAAGCGAAATGTCTTCAAAAGAAAGAAAACAGGAAGTCCTGCTGTCCCTCAGAAAAAAAGCACCTTTGGGACAACCAGAACCTGGATGACCGAGAATCTCTACAGTCCTTTTTCTACCACACTCCTGGAGGGGAAGAAGGAAATCTCGAACCCATAAAGAACAGCTTGTTGTGTGAAAAAGGAAAGCAACGCAAACATGTCAAGGCATTCAAACATGCAAGGAGCAGATTTCATTTGCAGCTTCATGCCCGAAGATGCACGGAACAGCCACACCAATTCAGTGAATTGTGTAAACCGGCTCTGATTTCCTTGTGTCTGATTGTGTGTGACTGGCCGTGTCAAAGCCAATCAGGAGAAGCGATTTGCGATCAGCCTGTCCTTACTAGCCGGCAGACTTTGAAATGAAGGATCCTAACCAAAGCAGAGCGTTCGAGGGAAATGTTCAGGCTGGCTCTGATCTCCCGCTCATTGGATTAGGCATCCTGCCTCACTCCGGAGAGCTTAGCTGGAGCCCGGAGGGAGATAGGCTTCCAGAGCTCTGCAGATGAGCCCGTCTCTCCATCTCTCACGTTTGTAGGTCAATGAGACATGGTAAAATTAAGGAGGAGCCGGGGTAATTAAACACTTGTCAAAAAGGCCTCCATAAATCTACCCTACGTACCCTAATTGACATGCTCATCACACCTTGGGATCATAAATCAGAAAACTTTTAGGCTGAGAAGATCAATAGAGAAGGACATGTCCTATTTTTCAGGCAGCCTTTTCCCTCTTCAAGATTAAGTCTTCTTAAGGATCCTACCGCTCAGGAGTCCTTGCGGGCAATATCCTGTCATTCAGAAGGCTCTGTGTACAGTTGAAGAGGACAAGAAGCAATGGATGGAAACTAATCAAGGAGAAGTCCAGCCTAGAACTAAGGAGAAATTTCCTGGCAGGGAGAACAATCAATCAGGGGAACGGCTGCCTCCAGACGTTATGGGTGCTCCAACCCTGGAGGTTTTCAAGAAGAGATTGGACAACCATTTCTCCAGAATGGACAATTAGGGTCCCCTGATTGAATAGGGGATTGGACTAGAAGCTCTCTAAGGTCCTTTCCAACTCTGTTATTCGGAACCTAGATCATGAGTTTGAGTCCCTCCTAAATTTTATAGGTGAGTTGCAAAGAGGCACACAACGAAGGTCATCTTTGAACCAACCGTAGCTTCTCCTTCTTCAGCTCGGTCCCTTCCAGATGAGCATAGATTGGGGGTGTGGGGGGGAGGATATCTCAGAATTCCTGAGGTCACTAAGCCTACATTCTGGTAATTATGATTCCAACCCATTGCTGGGATGCAGAAGGCTGAGATATTTGAAATTCATATCAGGATATCTGTCCAAATATGAGTGCGGTGGTTTTTTTCCCTTTCGAGAACATTTTTGGTGGATGCAATCAGCACAATCACAGCTAATTATTTCTGGCTCATTGCTGAAGTTCCCAAGACAGCAGAGCCACAGGTGACGGGATGAGCTTTCTCCTTTCAAAGTTAACCATGTTGATTTTTGGGGAGCGTTTGTTTGATTAGAGATAGTTGACACAGCTTGTGGGAAGTTATTTGGTATGGAGATGGAATCTCACTGGTTCCTTTGTGCTCCTCGCTTTCATCGTCTCCCCTGCTGAGTTTCATGAATGCCCCACCAAAAATATCTTACAGGAACAAAGGGTTAGCTAGACAGACAGATGTTTTCCGTCATGATGCTTAGTCCAGAAGAACTGAAGAGTGAAGGAATGTGGGGCTTGAAATAACTTTGTCTCTCCATTGTTCTACCACTTGGGGTTTTCAAACGTAACTTTTCTAAAAGCACCAATCGCTTAGCTTCTAAAATAAGGCAGAATTCCTATCGTTATTCTGAAGTGATAGGTATAATCTTAATAAATATAAAATAATTCTATCTGTTCCACCACCTTGTAGCATCCCCTGGTACATTTTGCAAATTTTGGCATATTTTGATTGATGTTCTATCCATCTGACCCTTCCTAATTGAAAATCTCCTTGTGGTTTTAAGATCTCCTATCTGAACGGATGCACTGCCAGCCAAAGAGAAGTAAGTTGAAGTAAGGTAGTAACTCTGGAAGTACAGTATTTACCTGCCCACCTTTGAACCTCTTATCTTGCAGGTGAAATGCCTGAGGAGAAAAAGAAAGCATTCCACTCATCTGCATCTCGTCTGGCCTTATCCTGAGGCTGTAGAGAAATTCATTTCTGCAACAGGAGAGCAGTGAGTGTATAGCAGTGGTTAGAGGACTTATTCCCAGGAGCCGTGAGAAACACATACAAGGATGGAAATCACAATCTCCTTCTAGAAATGTCAAACTTCATCCAGCAGCTAAGAAAGTTGCATTTCGGTTTTAATGATCTCTGTTGAGTTCCTTGCAGTGGCTGAAACTGCGAAGGATCCAATTATTCTCACTTTGGCACCTCTCAGTCTGGTATCACTTTGGTTCTTGTGACGTAAGTCCTGAGGAGGCAAGGAAGCCCTGTTGAGTTTGTCAGTCTTTTCCCAATGTAAGACAGCTGGAAACTCCAGTGATAGATTTATGCTTTATCTTTGGCTTAACCCCAAGCCTTCCCCAATGCCATCCAAATGGAACGAAGTTCTTAGAATGGTAGGCCAGCAGATCAAAAAGCACCACACTGAGGAAGGCTGAGCTGCAGGAGTGGAATCCAGCAGGTTCTGGAGAACCGGTAGTGGAAATTTTGAGTAGTTCAGAGAACCGGCAAATACCACCTCTGGCTGGCCCCAGAGTAGGGTGGGAATGGAGATTTTGCAGTATCCTTTCCCTGCCACACCCACCAAGCCAAACCATGCCCCCCAAGCCACACTCACAGAACCGGTAGTAAAAAAAAAATTCAGCACTGCTGAGTTGGTATGTTTTTTTGTGATCATCCCACTATCAAGCTACTAAGGAAGCCATAGAGATGAGTATGCCTAGACAAGGGAGTTTAGTTTTGTCTAAAACCACTCATTCTGAGGGCAGGATGAGAAGCAACGGGTGGAAACTCATCAAGGAGAGAAGCAACTTAGAACGAAGGAGAAATTTCCTGACACTTAGAACAATTAATCACAACTTGCCTGCAGAAGTTGTGAATGCTCCAACACTGGAAGTTTTTAAGAAGATGTTGGATAACCATTTGTCTGAAGTGGTGTAGGGTTTCCTGCCTGATCAGGGGGTTGGACTAGAAGACCTCCAAGGACCCTTCCAACTCTGTCATTCTATTCTATGTCCCTATCTTAGGTAATGGTTAGTGAGGGGTCCTTGGTGCTCTCTGAGCTTGTTTGGTTTCTTGCAGACGTTTCCTGATCCAAACTAGGTAACATCATCAGTTCCTTTGATGTCTGTGCTAGTCATCATTAGCGCTGATGATGTCACCTAACTTGGGTGAAGAAATGTTTGCAAGAAAGCAACCGAGCTCAGAGAGCACCAAGGGCCCCTCATCAGGGGTGGGCACTACTTACCTTTACTATCGGTTTGCAACAGGAGTGCGTGCACTTCTGCGCATACACAGATCGTCAATTATGACGTCCGGGCGGGTGGGCGGAGCCTCCGGCCACTTTTACTACCTGTTCTATAGAACCGGACAGAAGCGGGAGCAACCCACCACTGCTCCTCATGTCAACCCTGAGCTACAAATATTTTCCTGTGCTGGTTAGTGAATGCCGTGATAGGGACTAAGGTCGCTTAATCTTAGGCCTGACAGGCTTCCTTAGGGCTAAATCAATCTCTTGGAAGATTAGTTGGCTGGGTCTTCCCACTGATCCGAACAGACACGTGGGCACGGAGCCGGCATTTTGCTCTCTTTTCTCAAATTCTGGGTCTAAACAATGGAGAGATTGTGACTCCTTCCATGTTGAAACGGGCTTCTGTTGCTATGATCTCAGCACTGGCCATGAAATCTAATGTCAACCCAACAGTTTGCCTTAATTTGACTCCGCTAATCATATGCGTTGTGCCCTAGATTGACTGCATGTCAAAGATAATACTGTGAAATGATCAATTTGCAATTTTGAATTGCCTTTGAAGATACAGAACATTTCATCTCTCACACTATTCCACTTGGCACAGAGTTACATTTTCAGAATGATTATGAACTTCTATTATTATTATTTCTTTTCTTTTCTTTTCTTTTCTTTTTTTAGTAAGAAGAGCTTCTGGGGGAAAGAAATCTGACTGATATTTAAGCGCTACCGAGATATGAAATAATCCGATCATAATGTTTCCATGAATAATAGTTCCAGATATTTCCCTGCCTGGAAGATGGGACACCTGCAAACTTTCCTATTGTAGGCAGTGGGGTGATTATCACCCACATTATTGTCCTTTTTTGCGTGTGACTGCTTCCTTACAAATAAAAACTGGTTTTTTTAAGCACAATCTAACGGGTTCCTTCCTACCATGTGCTAAACCACCCAAACTTAACCAGGTTAACAGTAATCAAACTTAACCTGTTGAATTAGTCCATCTACAAAGCCTTTCCTTGACCCCTTTGTAGGAGTCCCAGGCTGGGCTGCATGGTTTTTAACCAATTGCATTTCTTTAAATGAATTCCGTATTTCATTATATTTGTCTATGCAAAGTCTGCATCTACAGGCAATCATCTTGTAGCTGGCCAGCACATTCAGGTTTTCAATTCATGGAGTGAAAGGGGCCATTCATATCTCACCATCTAGAGAAGTGATGCTGCCAGGATGGCACAGAGGTGAGGATGCAGTATTGCAAGATAAACTCTGCCCACTGCCAGCAGTTTGAATCTTACTGGCTCAAGGTTGGCTCAGCCTTCCATCCTTCCCAGGTCAGTGTAATGGGGACTCAGATTGTTGGGGGCAATAGGCTGACTCTATAAACCCTTTTAGAGAGGTCTGAAAGCACTGTAAAGTGGTATATAAGTCTAAGTGCTATTGATATTGTCCTTCCTTCCTTCCTTCCTTCCTTCCTTCCTTCCTTCCTTCCTTCCTTCCTTCCTTCCTTCCTTTCCTCCCCTCCCTCCCTCCCTCCCTCCCTCCTCCTCCTCCCTTCCCTCCCTCCCTGGTGGCAGCACCCCCCAATTAGGAGGATCTAAAATGGGCTTTTCCCAAACACATTACAAGGTAAGCGTGGAAAAACTATCCTACTGTATAAGGATGCTAATTTAATGTGTTTCTTTCCCCTCGCTCCAAACATTTTCAAATAACCATACAGTTTGATTGTGGATTACCTCAGAGACCTGGAAGCTAAAAGGGGCTGTTTAATTAATTAAGTGGAATTGAACTCATTGGCTGATGTGGGTCTAATGGTTAATTATGGAGTCATAAAATCCATGAGTTGAGAGACATCACGTCCGATCCATTGATTGGTCCAGGATTCTATGAGAGCATCTCCCTCTTTTTAGAAGCAGTAACAGTTTTATTGCCTGAATGGTTTCACCTGTGGAGTTTGTATGCGTTGCACACCAGAGCCTTGCCCCCCCCCCCCCAAAAGTCAGGTGACAACTCCACACACGGGGGAGTCAACGAGCCCAAATATGGTGCCATAAACAGTCACTTTGACGAGGAATAGCAATAAAAGAAGAATTCCTTGACATAAAGTAGAGATCGCTCACAGGGGCCTGTTTTGTCTCTTAATCCCAATATAGCTTCTGCGGGGTTTTAAAGCAGCATTAAAATGGAGACCCATTTTATACCTGCTTTTAATGAAAGGATTTTGCTCAGTTTCTGTATAAAGCTACAGAAAGGATGCTAAAGAATATTTCCAAAAACAGAAGATTTTTAAAGCTGCCTCCATAGGACACAACTAATCTGGCAATTAAAGCCAGCCTACGCAGTATGAAATGGAGATTTGTAAAACAGAACGGTCTAATAAAGTCATGATTTTCCTAGTGGGAAAGAATATTTTCCAAGTGAATAAAGAAAATTGGGTACTATCACATTGGAAATGTGGAAGAGTTGCACCCCCTTGAGCTGGTGTCCAAAGCACCTGAATGCAGAAGCAGAATGCAAGAAGCAAAGGACGGAAGCGTTATCAAAGAGAGATCCAGCCTAGAATTAAGGATAAATTTCCAGACAGTGAGTACAATTAATCAGTCGAACAGCTTGCCTCCAAAAATTGTGGGTGCTCCAGCACTGGATTTCTTTCTTTCTTTTTTAATTGATTTTCTATTAAATACATTTCTTAGTGCTTAATAAACATCTTGTTCTCTGGGCATTTAATTTGCTTAACAGTACAATTTTACATTCTTAATCTCCACCCCTTTTTTCCAACTATGGATAAAATAAATGCCATGTTTGATAATATTCTACATCTTCTTTCTGTTTAATTTTCAATGTCAATCTATCCATTTCTGTACAATCTAGTATCTTCCTGACGATCTCTTCATTGTTGTGGCTCTGCTCGCAGCCAGTGGAGCACAGCTGGCTGGAGAATTCTGGGAGTTGAAGTCCACAAGTCTTAAAGCTGCCAAGTTCGAAGACCTCTGCTCTACCTTGATGTCCCAAATTCAGGAATCTGCTCTAAATAATAGTGCGTAACTAAAGTTAAATCGAACCTTTTGAGAAATACAGCTTTGTTGGAATTTAGGGTGGAGAGTCTTCTGCACTTCTTGGTGGGAAGAAAATTGGGCTTACTTGCTTTACTCAGAGAATTAAAGACATAAACAGAGGCACTGTGAAAGGGTAAGTCTTCAGAGAAATGGTTTTTCTCTTGTTTACTCTAATTCTACCCATCCTTTTTAATATTGCTGATATGTACACACTTAGATAATTAAAACCATATTTAAAGCTGATTCCCTTGTTAAAGGGAATCAGCCGCAATCCTGAAGTCACTTTTGCTCAGAGGCTGGTTGACATAATGCAGTTTTGTTCCCTGAGTCCCGTTGACCTTAATAATAAGCACATACAGAGTATGAGAGAAACGATAAGACACAAATCACAAATATATACTGGAGCTAAGAAAAAAAACTCTCATTTCCCCCAACTCAGTTTGGACAAGTTGACAATCCTTGGTTGTATCAACAGAGGCATAGAAACAAAACCACGTGAAGTTTTAGTACTGCTTTATAAAGCCTTGGTAAGACCATACCTGGGAACCTGCATTCAGTTTTGGTCACCACATTAAGTGACCAAGATGTTCGGACTTTGGAAAAAAAAATGCAGAGAAGAGCAACTAAGATGATGAAAGCAGGGGTGAAATTAAAAAATTTCCTCTACCGGTTCTGTGGGCGTGGCTTGTGGGGGGGAGGTCATGTGACTGGGTGGGTGTGGCCAACTTGACATCACTCACATCGAGGGGCTTCTCACCGGCCCCTCCCCTCCCAGCCACTCCTTGTCGCGAATGGCAGGAAAATGGGGAGGGGAATATTCCTGCCTACCATCCTTCCCTCCGTCTGTGCTGAGATTGAGGAATGGATGACAGGCAGGAAAATCCCCTTCCCCATTTTCCTGCCTTTCACAAAAACGACTCCATTCCAGCTGCTCTCCCCCTCCCCCGTCTACCTTAAAAGAGACAGGCTGCAGCAGCTCCGTTCTGAATGGAGGGAGAAAAGTTAGCATTCTTTCTGCTGCATTTAACATTGAATTCTGTGGAATATCGAGTGGCCGGAAGAGGTGAGTGGCTACTGGCCAGGCATGGGTGGGGCCAAGGAGGGGTAATGACTACCAGTTCAGTGAACTGATGCCCATAATCCCCAGTGGTTCTCCTGAACCGGTCCAAACCGGTAGGATTTCACCCCTGGATTAAAGACCTGGAGACAAAAACATACGAAGAACGGTTGCAGGATTTGGAGTTGGCCAGTCTAGAGAAAAGAAGGACTAGGGAGGACATGATAGCAGTGTTCCAATATCTGAGGGGTTGCCACAAAGAAGAGGGGGTCAAATTATTCTCCAAAGCACCAGAAGCAGGACAAAAACAATGGATGGAAACTAACCAAGGAGAGAAGCAGCCTGAAGTTAAGGAGAAACTTCCATGCAGTGAGGACAATTAACCAGTGGAACAGCTTGCCACTGGAAGTTATGGGTGCTCCATGACTGGAGGTTTTAAAGAAGAGACTGGACAGTCACTTGTCTGAAATGGTAGAGGGTCTCCTGTTGAGCAGGGAGGGCTGGACTAGAAGACCTCCAAGGCCCCTTCCAACTCTTCTGTTATTCTGTTAAAACTTGCTGGCCCTGGACTCTACTAACCCACGTCAGGAACCGAGGTTGCCCCAGGCCACTCGTGGTCTGCTCAACTCCTCACCCCGTGCACATTGTAGGCCAATCCACAAGGCCTGCCTGTTGCTCGTTGTTGGGGAAAGCCTAATTGTGCATAGAGATCACCAAAGATTCATCGCCTTAGACAGATGTGAACATGAATCAACTCTTCCCTTTCACACCTCCGCAGAACTGCAAACCTCGTGGCCAACGCTGACATCCACACATTTGTTCCTCAGTGCCCAGAAGGTGAGGAAAGGCACACACACCAAAGTATTTCGGGGGGGGGGGGGGAAACGAAAAACAAAAAAAAAAAGCCACCCTCCTTTTCTCCAGTTGGCTTGGCTTATCCCATCACAATCTATAAGGAAGGATGCTCTTCATCTGTGATCCAGACTAAAACCAGCAGAGTCCTGTGAAGTTCCAGGGGTTTTAACTTTGAAAAGCAATTTTAAGATGTTTCTTTTCTTAAATTGCCTCCCCTAAGGCACCCAGCCTTCCCAGCGTTGCCACTTCAGTGATGACTAATGAAGCGCTCAGTCGACACTCGGCGGTGAATGTGTGAAAGACGGAAAACGCTTTGTGCTTTTGTCGTCTTTCTGCTCTGCATCCCAAACAGGTTCATTAGGTGATGGGAGCTGAGTCAGCAGCTCACCTGGGCGAACAAAACGCTGCCCGGTGCACCTGCAGGCGGCCCTTTAACTTTGCAGCACAAGTTCCCTAAACTTCACGAAGGAGGGGACAAATGTTAAAAATTGGAGGAGTCCTTGGTGCTCTCTGAGCTTGGCGGTTTTCTTGCAGACATTTCATGATCCAACTGGGGAACAACATCAGCACTTAAGATGTTAATCTAGTTGGATCATGAAATGTCTTCAAGAAAACCTCCAAGCCAGGGGTGAAATCTACTTAGCTTCCCTACCGGTTCGGAAGTGAGCATGCCGTGTGCGCATGTTCACTCCGCTTGTGCACGTGTGTGCATCACGTGCAATTTTGGACCCTCTGCGCATGTGCAGAGGGTCAAAAACAAGTTACTTCCTGGTTAAAACCAAGAAGTAACGACGTCCGGGTGGGTGGGCGGAGACTTGCGCTGTTGCCGCTACCAGTTCGTGCGAACTGGTAGCATTTCACCCCTGCTCCAAGTTCAAAGAGCACCCGGGATCCCACAGTCCTCCTCCTCCTCCTCCTCCTCCTCGCAAACTCATTCCCTTCTAGCAG